GTAAGAACTCTTGACATTGTTGTTATTATCAATCAATTCAACAATTTAAAGTGTTCTCTCCAGTGAAAGTTATTGCAAGCCATTTGATGTTTCTGGTACTGGTTATATGCGTAGTGAAGCTATAGCGATATTGTACCTCCAAAAGGCAAAAGATGCGAGACGAATCTATGCCACCTACGTCTACGCTAAAACCAACTGTGATGGCTTTAAGCATGAAGGCATTACATATCCCTCTTACAACATGCAGAAGGAGTTATTAGAAGAACTTTATGATGATTGCGGTGTTACACCCGAAATGCTCTCCTACATGGAGGCCCATGCAACTGGTACTCCGGTAGGAGATCCGGTAGAAGTAGACGCTATCGATCAAGCATTATGCTTAAAAAGGACCAGTCCTTTATTAACGGGCTCGGTGAAATCAAATCTTGGCCATTCGGAGCCTTCCAGTAGTCTCTGTCAAGTGGCAAATGTATGTGAATATATTTGTTTTAACGGTGCCTTTAAAAGTTAAACTACGTGTATGTAATAATGTTTGAAACATATTTTTAAACTTAATCAATCTATAGTTATGGTTCTGTTGTTTCTGTTATAATTAATACATCGAAACGGTTTGAAGGTCTTTATAGCGATAGAAACAGGTATAATCACACCAACTATACACTTTAAAACACCGCGAAAATAACTTACTCCCATAATTGAAAGTAGATTAAAAGTCGTCACAGAACCTACTTCATGGGAAGGTGGTTACGTGGGTGTCAATTCTTTCGGATTTGGTGGTGCAAATTGTCACGTACTGTTGAAATCGATTCCTAAAAATAAAATCAACAACGGAGAATCAGACAGTTTGCCGAGACTTTTATTTATATGGTCTGGTCGTACTAAGCAGGCTGTAGAAACTCTTTTAAATGATGTAAGTTTGTCTATTTTACGTTTTTACTTTGCGTACTTAAAGTTAGAGAAAAAACAAAGGGAGAATTGTTTAACGATATTAACATTTTTATGTGGATATATATGTACACATGCAACTTTATCGCGGTAGGTGAAAAGTAGACAGCTGGATGTAGAATATGTCGCTCTTTTACACCGTCTTCATACTGAAGACATAGAGGGTCATTTGTACAGAGGATATGTTGTTGTTGGACCTAAATCAACTCGTAATACAATATGCAAAGTTGAAAATTGCTTGAATCAAAGGAAATCAATCTGCTTCGTGTTTACTGGAATAGAAGCATCGTGGTGTAATATAGGTGAGAATCTATAGAGTAAGCAAAGAATCAGTGCTACTGCAATGATATTCAATAACATGTAACGTTTTCAAATATTTTATTTAATGATACATTCAACACCATTATGATCAAACTTTGACACAAATTTGGGGATTTCGATAATGTTGAAATTGAAATGTCATAACGTTGCAAATAACGTGGCGCTAAGGTTTTTCTATTATTCTTGTAATGTTTTTGAAATAATATTGATGAAACGATAAAATTTAAACGTGTTAACAATCGTACCTATAAATACCGCTCTTGGTTCTGGACCCTTATTATTGAAGTAGTTGCGTTTACGTAAATGTCATTGAGTAGATATAATCGCATCATAAAATAACTGCTTAGTGACACTTACGTATACGCAATCATATAAAAAATTGAGGTCCTGATAGTAACTTTACTACTTATGTTCTGATCAAGGCCATATATATATTAAATTCGTCTTGCATATTTTCGTGCTGAAAGTATTAATTTACTTTTATTCCTCATCGCATGCCGAAAGTTGATAAAAGGACGATTTCAACATGATAGCGTGAAAGACAAATTTAATCATAAAAACATGCAGCCGCTAATTATTGCGGCTATGCGATAATAAGATTATATTTCTTATTTAAATCGCCACATACACAATTTCTTAAAATGATGAATAGACCGGGCGTCTTAGAGAAATTTGAACATATTAGAGCAATGCAAAAAATAATATTATAATAACGAAAATAAAAATATTTTCATTAACATTATGTCTAGATCCAATTTAAAACAATTTTGAACTGTTTCGTTGAACTGAAATAAATGTCAAAGTAACAAAAAAAATATTTTCTGCAATGTCTTTAAAATATTTTAACAACATTCGAAAAAATCGTATTACGAAATAATATGTTTAAAATACATATGTTATGCTAGAGTATAAACGTTAAAAAAATGTACATAAAGTTAACATTTTTTAATGTAAATTTTTAATGTTTCTTGTTGATTCGAGTATCTATCAATTTACATATCCCAGTAAACAAGAAATATTAAATCAATCTCATAAAACTTT